ATCTTATATGGGATATACTTTTATTTACTATCTTTATCCTATTGAATTCAGCCTTTAAAGAATTTATTCTCTTTATAATTGGTTTTAAAAAAAATTTTTTAACCAATTTATTTAACTATACAATATGCATAAACATAATCATATGTGCAATATCGTCTCTATATATATTATATATTCTAGTATTACATAAATTGTGCATCATAAAAATTTTAAATATTTAGACATTCAGTCAAATTTAGGATTTGACATTTTGACAAAAAATAATGCTACGTCGAATATATTTAGACACCAAAGTGTCTAAATATTTGACTAAATAGCATATTTCAGCTAACAACACTATCAGAACCTTAATAAATTCTGTGAGAACCGAACGTAAAACTCTAGAACATTTGTAAATTTTACTATAAAGTTCAGATTAGCAATATAATACTTCTTTGAGAACTGAACTTTTTGACCAATTTTACATATAAGAACGGACTGTTCGGAATAGCTAGAGTTGACTGTAGTTATGTGATTACAGATTAATATGATTGACTAGATATATTTATTATATTTATATATGATCTATGCTAATCAAATCAATTTATTTGACAAACCCAAAAGATATATAATTTTTTGAGTATTAGTTATCAAAAATAACAGGCTATCAGGTTTGTATTATGAAACGGGGATGGTGGATCAATCTTTTATAAGTTATTGCTTCAACAGGATTGATTTTAAGAGGGTATACTACTGTATATTTACTATAAAGAATTATTTCTCATGTTATTTTCAAGTAGATTACAGGATTATGATTTATTAACATAAAAAAAATTGAAGTGAGTGATTTACAATATTTCTAATTAGCTTCCTCAAGAATATGTGCCTTTGGCTATTATTAAGACCACCATTATCACTAGGAGATTTTGGATATGCTATTCTTTTTTATTGATTTCGAAAGAGGAGGTCTTGGTTAATACATGCATCCCTTAAAATACTACGAACAGTATAGTTAATACAGAGGATATGAGTTATAAGTCTTGTGGAAATTGTTTAAAAGAGTTCTGTCAACCAGATGTATTTGAATTGCTTATTGAATTTTAACAATTTTTTTAATGTCAGAAATCTAATCAAGTATAAGGAAGTTTATCTATTATTGTTATTACACGCATCTCAAGAGAAAGAAGTGAATGTCTCTAATATATTTTGATTCACTTAAGATATTTTGTGATGTATTTGTTAAAACCTGACCTGTCGTATAACGATGGGTCTAATATCTAGTTATCATACTGTATACTGTATATGAATTTATCAAACCACATACAAATGTATATGAATATTTACTTTTTATTTATTTGGCGTATATCATATAGCGAATCTTAGGTTGTATATCTGTTAATTGCTTTGCTCTGGCTTTTATAACTACTTATAAAAGTCGATTGCTACTATTTAACATTCTTGGACATTTAGACGAGCGTGAACAAGACATGCCAAAAAAAAATCTTTGGACGTCAAAAAACTTCCAAAATTACCTTGGCATACTCGAAATAACGTACAGATTGTATTATTTCGATCTTATAAGTATACTTCCTTAATATATAAACTAGGAAATTCTGAAAATATCCAGCATTCACATACAATATCTCACTTTCAGTTTGCCATAACTTATGGTTAAGTAAATGATAATCACAAGAGAATATTGAATAGAAAATTCTTTACAAGCTAAAGTTAAATTCACACTTTTAATAATCTAAAGTATCATTCCATATAAGTAAATACTCGTTAAACTGATAAAGCTATATAAGACGGTCATTTCAGTTCCAAACTCTATTTCCCGTACTAAGAACGATAAAAATTTTGAATCGACTCAATAAATTGCATTCTTTGTGACTATATGATTTCTTATTATCATAGATCTGTAAAAGAAAAATTATATAATAATGAAGCATAAAATGCACATACATTATTAGCAACAAAACAATGATTTTTGTGTAAATAATAAGCTGCCATTATACAACTTGCATTAGTCATTCATCATTATGATGAAATATGATCATTATGTATTAGTGTTAGAAAATTATATATGGTATAAATTTCAGATAATAAACTTCTGTGCACCGTTCTAGATTTTTTAAATCTCGGCATAAACTTGACATTTTTAAATCTTAATTTTAAATCTCTTGGCATAAACTTGACACAATCATATCTATATACTTTATATTTTTTGTGTAAGAATCTAAAACATCAAACCATCAAGTTTTTATCATTGTTAAATGCATTTTATACTGTATACAAGCCACGTTAAATCAGGTTAATCTTTTTTATGCTAAAAATACTATATTTAAATGTTCCTTAGGTTGCAAACCAAAAAAATTCACAAACTTTTTATCAAAATTGGTGTAAAATCAAAGGAAATTTAATATGCGTCATTTAGAGTGACCCTTATCGTTATTATATATATATTTAAAACAAATTGGGTTAAAGCATAACGCGTGTAACGATAATTTTTATGGCGCAGGAGAGATTTATTTATTTATCTGTGGAAGGCTATTATGGGATCTTTTAATAGTAACTTTGTCATCACTAACTACTATTTTTTGTAGAGTGCCTATAACGATTATGAAAGTTTAATAAAAGAATTTAAATAATATTACTTGTGCATTCAAGCATTCAAAAGTTTGTCAATAAAAAAGGGAATTTGGATCGAGTTTTACTCTTGGCGCTCCTGAACTGGCTTTTTCATACTTGATATTAACGAAAACGTTATCTATTTTGTTCGACAAAAACACCAAAGATTTGCGTAGTACTTGAGATCTTGTCTATTTTTAGCTAACGAGGTTTCCCTTAACGTTAAGATTGTAACTTTAAAATTGGTAATACAAATATACTTACTGACAAAACTCGGACAAATCGCAAAATCCAAAACAATTGCCATTTATAAAAATTTAAATCAAAAAAAATTAATCGTCTTTTTTGCAAATATATATATTATATATATATTACATATATACCTTTTTTTTTTTTTTTAGATAAAGTTTTTGGAGGTACTTATTAGTTTCGCGAGGATTCGGGATTTGGGCGTGAACAAATCCACACTATAATAATTTTGGGATTTTGGCGGCAAGAATAAATACAAAAAAGGTCTATATTTTAGTATCCGTTAAATTTTAACACAATACATGTACTGTAAGACCGGGTATCTGAATATCCGTATCCCGATACTTGAAGATCCTAAATTATTTAAATTTATTAACGAATGGGATTATCTTTAGTTACACAACCATTGTTTAATTATCGTTATGAATACAATTTTACGACATCATGCAGCTTTCTTGTACTTATACGATAATAAACTTTAAAAAGAAAATTAGATTTACACATTATAGTATATATACTATAGAAGAATGAAATATCATGATAAATTATTATATTAAATTTATATTAAATTTCATATTATTAAATTTATATTAAATTTCATATTATTAAATTTATATTAAATTTATATGAAATAAAATTAATTACAACTTTTATAATCTTTCACGATAACAGGTACAATACCACCGTATCTATATTCAATCCTGCATTTAGTTCCATTCTTGAAATGCCAATTATACAAGATCAATGTAACTAAAAAATATAACCCGGTACTTGCTAAAATGTGCCAAAGGGCGTGCAATTGAGGATTAAAAGGTAAGAAAGGTCCATTCATGTAATCACAAAAATGCATATCTATTAACCAAACTGCAACTCCCATTGCATAAATCATTACTCCTTGTTCAAAAAGATATTTTACCGCAGGATGAGATGATCTTTTCTTAAAGTATATACGACTCATTAAAAATAATAAAGCAATTTCTAATAATCCGAAAGAATGAAAAAAAAAACAAGCATGAACTTATTTATTGATCATTATGAGATGCGCTAGATATTTTATGCGAACAATTACTAATATATACATATCAGATATGCACGCACGTACGTACTTACCTGTACATCGTTTATTTATTTTAACCGGGTTAGCCAAAGAAACATTCAATTTTAAATTGCTGTATGTATCTGTATCTGATATAATTACACGTTAAATAACAGAGAACGTGATACGATACAAGTTTTTGATTGATAAATACCCCCAATAA